ACGCCGCTGGCGTCCTGCAGGACCTCCAGCCCCCAAGAACGCCCCAAGCGGCCCCAAGAGCGCCCCCGGAGATGCCCTAGAGGGCTCCAAGGGAACCCCAGGGAGGCCCCAGAGGGCCAGATGAAAGCTCTGGTGAGGCCGTGCTCGGTGCTCAAGAGGGGCCCCCGGAGATGAACACACTGGCGGGCTGGCGGGGCAGGACGCTTGCGGGCGTGAAAGGAGGAAGGGATGGCGAGAGACTCTGACATCCAAGGGGGTCTTCCAACTTCGCGCTTCGCGCTGCGCGAGAGCGCGAAGCGCGAACGACTCCGCGCTCTCGCGCCGCCTCCCAGGGGAGACGAGGATGAGGAGGGAATCGGAGCCGAACCGCGAAGCGCGAATCACTTGGCGCCCTCGAGGGCGCCCCTTGGTGAAAGGAGGAAGGGATGGCGAGAGACTCTGACATCCAACGTTATGTCGGGCGTGTCCCCCTACAGGAGGATTTTCGACGAAAAGTAACAAAAATACACCAAAAGTAATCACAAAATAATTCAAAAACAGTCTGAGTGTTTTTTGACCTGTTTGGGGTATTTTTGGGCTACTTTTTCTTTTTCGTCGAAAATCCCCCTGTAGGGGGACACGCCCGACATAAATCCAACGTTCACGCTCTCGTGGAGTACACATCTGCCAGAACTCCCGACCATGCCAATGCTGAGCCTCATTGACCTGTGAGGGCGCCCTCCACGATTGCAGGGGCCCTGGAACACACAAATAAATACACGCAAATACCAGAAGTCTCCATATTTTCCTATATTTTCTGGGTTTTCGTCTTCCCCCCCCACTTCCCATATTTCCCATATGTTCCCATATTCTCCGGGCTTTCGTCTTCCCTCCCCTTCCCATATGTTCCAATATTTTCTGGGGAATCGACGATTCATTGTGTCTGTGGGTGTTTTGTTCCCTCCTGAATGATTCCATCATGACGCCCGGATGTCAAGCAGCAGGGGCCAGCATCGGAACGGGACGCCGGCTCGAAATCCGAACACCGTCGGATCTATGGAAATAGAGGGCAGATCGGCATTCGCCGCGAAAGTTCGGAGATCGGAAGCCAGAGCTCGAACCGGACTCGGATCGCAATGTTTGCTGTGCAATCGGTCGGATCGACGTCGAACCGGCCTGGGGCCCTCCCCTGACAGGGAAATCGCCACGAAAGAAAGAGGTCCCGAGGGAAAGGGGGCCCGCCGCTGGTCCAAGCCCCCTTGATTCAAGGGAGCCCTGGGGACACGCAAATAAATAACACAAAGATCATTGGACTCCCAATAGTTTGCCCCTGCTTTCTGGGTTTCAGTCTTCCCCCCACGCCCCATGTTCTCCCATGATTTCCTGGGCATCGACGATTCGTTGTGTCTGATCCCTGATGATTCGGGGCTCTGATCTCGTGTGGGCCTCGCCTCGGCACCCGGAATGGTGGCCCCTGCCGAGAGGATCCGCCAACGCGAGGTGGCTGCCCGAGCGGCTGGCTCGGCGCAGTACGGCCGCATGCTTTACGTTCGGCCCTGGGGCCCTCGGGGGGAACTCCTCCTCCTCCTCCTCCTCCTCCTCCTCCTCCTCCTCCTCCTCCTCCTCCTCCTCCTCCTCCTCCTCTGGGGGGAGTCCCCATGTCTTCCTGGGCATCGACGATTCGCTGTGTCTGCTCGCTCCACGCCTGCGCTCTCCGGAGCAGCCCCCGCTCCGCCCGTGCCCCGCGGGGCCCCCCCGCACGCCCTCCCCCCCCCCGCGGAGGGGCAGCGCCGCGCGGGAGCGAGCGCGGCCGACGGGCCGCAGAGGGAGAGATTACCAGCCTGGA